GTAAATAAAAAAATTTGTTTTTGATAAAAAATATTTCGTCATTTATTTACAAAATAGTATGCATGTGTGCAAAAAAAGTTATCCGCTGGCACAGGTGATTTGAAACAGAAAATTCAACAAGTTTATTGAACTATGTCGTCACACCTGTGGTCGGAACCTCCGCTAATTTATTTCATCGAAAATAAACAAAATGGCAGCGTTTCTTGTGAAAGAAAGAGAGAAAGAAAACACTTTTTTTGTACCGTAAATCAGGTGAAATTATAAGTAAAAATCGAAATATCAACTACTTGAAGGTTCCGACGATAGGTATGACGACATAGTTTAATAAACTTTTTCGATTTTCGAGCCAAAATCACCTGCGCCAGCGGATAACTTTTTTTTTGCACGCATGGATACTATTTTGTAAATAAATGACAAAATACTTTTTTATTTACTTTCCTTAATCATACCTGTAAGGGGGAGAAACATTCATTCAATTTTATGCAACAGTTCCTGAGAAAAAAATGATTGAAAATATGCTTTTTTGTGCGTTCACAGTGAAATGTACCCTTAAACCGGGAATTAGATATACTTACATTTTTCGTGCGTAGAGCGCCGCTCAAGAGAGTACGCGCTGACTCTAATATCGTAACGAATTTAAAAGATGGCGAAGAAAAAAAATAATATAAATTATTCCGAGCAAAGATCGCAGCACGCGAGCAACACTGACTCTATCCACGCGAAGCAAAATAAAGAACAAGAGCCCCAATGCTCTGGAGATACTAGAGTACACGCAGTAAACACTGACTCTATCTCGCGTAAGCCTAAAGTGTAAACGAGCATCTAGTCAAGGCCACTAAGCCTCGAAAAGCAACAAACTCCACGCAATAAACATTGGCTCTACCGACCGCATTGCGCGCGGTCGTAAAATTCTCTGAAAGGAAAGCTGGTTAAAGAGGACGGGAGTGGCTTTTTTTTTCATCGAGTGTTTGTAAACGTAAACACTGATTTTCCGTTAAATTTGCTGATGTAATACTCTTTGTTACAAGGAAGTGCTGTGAAAATGTAATATTATTCAAGGAACATAAGTTTCTGACAAAATATATTATTTAAATGAATGTTCTTTGTCTCAGAACAGATTGTTCGAAGCAATTTTGTTTAAATAAATTCAAATAAAATAAAACATCTTATTTGAATTGAATATAATAATGAATTCAATTGTCAAAAACTAATTGGTTAATTTGAGAAACGTTATATTAAAGAGTTGTTTCATTAAAGTTGTTAATTATCAAATTATACTCTAAAATATTTAATGACTCTTATAAATGTTCAGAAAATTTATCGCAAAAATCAAAGTTCTTTAGTTACTCAAAAACAAGAAAGTATCAGTTAATTTCTGATTCGTATTGTCTCATTTTTTAGAAGTACGAATTTTGTAATAAATAATAAAAATAGAAAAACCCGAAATTATTTTATTAATTATTTTCTTATAACAAGAAAATGATTAATTATGCCATTAATCGTATTCGAACTTGCATCAATTAGTATACATAAACATAATCGCGACATTTTGAAATTCAATTCGTGTATAAATCACACCAAGAAATTTGTACTCGCGACCGAAATTCAGTAAAATGAAACTATTCCAATGTCACGAACATCTAACTCTGCCATTTGAATTGTTTCACGGAACGAACCGGAAAAAGTTCGATTCCAATATTCCTCGTTTCAATCTCGACAGTAATCAATTGCCAAATCGTATATCAAGCTTGCAATTTACACAAATTTGTAAAATTAATTTTGGCTAAATGAAATCAATGTTAAATTGAAAAATGAAATCAATATTAAAAATATATATAAATGTCACCTCTCTGTTACGTTCGATCAAATTTTTATTAATTTTCGTACATTGCAGAATATTCGTTCTTCTATTCGTAGTGTCCTTCGAACATCTTCCCAGAATTCCAACCAAAGATCTATAACACAAAGAAAATGAAAAATTTAAAACAAAAGTTTCGAAATCAAAGCAATAGTTTCCCCAAAAGGCCCAAATTAATTCGAAATATGTCCCAAAAGATACTTGTTCAATGCTGGAATACGTACTCTTCCGTCAATGTTCTTGAAAAAAAAGGCCCCAAAAAATGCGCGAAAATAATTCAGCTTTTCTCGCGATATTAATCGAATTTAATGAAAACTGTGTTACTAACTCGCGAAAGCAATCATTATGAGTGGCACTAGTGGCTATTAGAAGCAGTCAGCAACAGGTAAAGTATGAATACGCGAATGTAATCTTTCACGTGCAGCGATCACTCGTCACGTCTTACCACTCCGGCTCCCACGGAACGAATGACGACCCCGTGTCTTAATACGTGACAAATTTGCCCGCTGGGTGGGAGGTGGTAATCCCCAACCTCCCCACATGGGTTTCCATTATTGACAAAATGTTTATCGTCTTGGAATTTTATACCTGGATTCGAGTCGTTGATACGCGTGACCGAATTCACATCTGAGGTCAAGCACACGAAGGTTGTCGTATAAGGAAAATACAAATACAAATACAGAGTTTCATGCTTTGTTCACACTTATGGCTGTTACTCGATTATCCTTTGATATTTCTACACGGTGTAAGAAAGATAGGTGGACCGACTACGCTACCCCCACCACAAAATTGCTGTGATCTTAAAGAAATATTTACTTGTAAACGAAGTAAACGTGATATTTTTCACATGTTACACTAATACCCTCTGCAGGAGAGACAAGTAAATATTTCTTTAAGATCACAGGAGCGGGGATAGAGTCGGCCCACCTATCTTTCTTACACCGTGTATTTCTACGAGAATAATAATTCGTTGATTCTTCTGATTCGTATGAAATAATCGGCGTAAATGTCTTAATTTTTGTAACAGCACAAGTATACAAAATGAAATAGGGTAAACTTTTGCTCTAAGCTACTGTTTCACGCGCAAAGTAGTTTGACAAATAGTTCGCGTTTTACCACAGCATTGTGTTTCGAAGTACGCCTCCTGGCGGTGCTCTTGCAAAGTTACGTACACACGAACCAGCAACTCCACATTGAATAAAATATCGATTGTAGCGACCGATCGATTGCTCGTTTCCATGCCCCGCTGGATACGTTTTCAATTTGAATGTGGAAACTCGATAAATGACGTTACAGTTAACTACAGTGGGTGCAGAAAGTATTCGTACACCGATCAATTTCCAATAAAACTGTGTAAAATTGTAATTTATTAACTTATTTTTTATAAACAATGACATTCTACATATTCTCGGAAATCTCTAGAATAGATATTAGGTTGTCCCGAAAGTTTCTTTTGCGAGTTGCACTCAATTAGTTTATATGGTCGTGTTTATATAAATAAACAATCTAATTTCATATATATTCATGTTGTAACAGTAATGGAGCGAAATGAATCGTGGACAAGTCAGTAATGTAACATAAAACATAAACTATTGTGCATGTATTACTTATTAATAAAGCGAAAGAAACTTTTGGGACAACCTAATACTTATAATAATTAATCGCTAATCCTTTTAGACAGTCTGTATTTTATACTTCTTTGTTTTTTGATGCATAGCTACAGCAATAACTCCCTTCAAAAGTACAAAAAGATCTATTTCAAATCTATCTATCTATGCAATACCTATCTATCAATGCCAAAATTCTTTTAACGTTAAAATTTAGGTCAAAGAAGGTAAAGTTCTCTGTCCAAAGAATAAAGAATCCACCATGAATAGAATACACAAACTAAAGAAGAATGCTCTGTATACAATGCACAATGTCCAATATATATATATGAACGTGAAAGATAATAAAAAGTAACCGACCACTTTCGAATAGAACACAGTTTTGCAAGGGACATAATTCATAAGAGGATGCAATTCTTCGTAGGAATATAAACTCATAAATAACACGTATTTACATACAACGCCAATAAATCTCGAATTGGGTATCGATCGCGTAGAAAGCCACTGAAAATGCATGAACCTTAAAACCTCGTTGCACGTTTTATGTTTCTGTTCGCGTGTTCACGTTGATGAATTAAATACACCCCCGCTCGCCCGTTTTCAATTCTAACTCTTCCCGATCAGAAATTAATATTCTCGTGTAAACACTTTTCTCACAGATTGAACAACTTGCAGAACGAGAAACAACCGAACGATATTCTCCATAATTTATTGCTTCTACCCAGTGTGTATTAATATAGAATATTAATTTACTTTCCTTTGAAGAAAGAACTGAGTTAAATATTGGTACAATAGAAGCGTATTATTATTATTAGTACACTAACAGACTTATTTTTCTAAATTGATACGTATTTTATTTATGTTATTCCTTTCATAGAAAGACTCCACTAAAATATCGAAATGTGGATGAAGTAAACTATGCTTCTCTGGACTACACGCGTTATGTTTGTTTTAAATACACCAAGCGGAGTATGTACCACGCTTTTAACTCGAGAATGATTTATCCTCGAACTAAATTGAACACATCTCACATTTCTCCTTTAACGCACTTTAAAGAACGACGAGACCCTCGAAAGGGGCATTTTCCTAAATCGATTCGTGCTCAACATGCATTCGCTTTATCTCCTCTTCGTCCGGAAAATTGGTTCCCGTTAACGCTCTGAATTAAACTTTGAATTAAACAGCTTGGTCGCGGAATAAATTTGCGTGTCACGGCCAGAGACTGTTGCAATGGAACACTGTTGGAATAAAATCAAGGGTGGAATTACGTATGTAGGTTGCAGGATTTAAACGATTTCCTTATCGGTAACGTAAGAAGTGTACCCGTGGTCAGATAATGCGCGAATCTAAATTGAGCAATTTAAGCCGGACTTTTTTATACAAGATAAATTACCACGTTTCGTTCACCGGACTCCAGTATCTAGATACCACAGAGAGTGCTTCCATGTGCTTGCATATGTAAAATACATTTCTTCCATAGAACAGCGATATATATTTTCCCAAACAAAGCAAATACAAAGGATGAATTGTTTCAGGTGGCAAGGCGGGAAGCAAAACAAGAAAAATGCCGGTGGGTGGACGGGTTGCTGGAAAAGTCGGGATTTACAGTTCCCATTATAATGGTAATGTAAACAGGGATATCGTTGTTATGTGTGCTAATGTGCAACACCGAATGTTCGTTGCGTGGGTTGCCATTCGTTAAACAACATCCTATAAAGTAATATCAATACATGCATATTTCCAATGGCAAATAATGCCAATGACGATTTCAAAGGAAAATATTTCAAAGGAAACATTCAAACACTTATCCTAGTCTCAATTAAGCCGTTCATTGCAGTAATCGACAAACTCCATAAAACAAAAAGTTGGAAAATGCGATCATAATGAGTTCTGAAATAAATGATTTATTATTCAATGGCCTACAAATTTTGTCGTTTAATGGTGTTAATCTGTATTATTCATGAAATGAATTGTTATAACAATAAAAAGTTGACTATACCAAGTGCTTCGATACTTAAATTAAAGATTTTTCAAAAAGTGGAGTGATTTGCGCAGTGAACGGCTCAATTGTTATGATTCCCTGAACTGACTCCTAATCGTAGAGCTTAAATGATTACTCCTGGTTGTAAGTTCGTCGACCCCAGATTCGAATGAAATCACCTTCAGCCTTCATTTCCATTCGGACGCTGACTAGGGGCGATCCCTCAGAGTTCAAATTGCTGAAGTTTCGAGCCAGACTAGAATCTGCATTCTGGGGTTGATCTAACACCAGAGAGGCTTAACATACAGTGGATGTAGAAAGTATTGGTACACCGATCAATTTTCAAAGAAACTATGTGAAATTGTAATTTATTAACTTTTTTTTATAAATAATAATATTCTACATATTCTTGGAAATCTCTAGAATAGATACAATACGAAAAGATTAGGTATTTTGTATAAGTGAGAAATCAACAAGAAAAAACAATAAATCAATAGAAATACAGAAACAATAAGTATTCGTACAAGTGTTAAATTTTTAAAATTGCATTTAAAAAAAAAGAAATTTACATTAATTTATAAATAATTAATACTTCGTGGGATTTCCTTTTGATTTTATAATTACTACAACTCTCCTAGGCATTAAATTAGTAGGATCTTCTTTCATTCCTTTATTAGAGCATTTTTTAAGTCTCTTTTTACTAGAAATTTAATATTTTCTAATTCCCACGAAGCAATAAACTGACGCGCTTATGTTACAAATTCTATTGTAAATTGTTCTTCATAAGAACCGTGCGAATACTTGTTGCTTCTGTATTTCTACCAATTTTTCTTGTTTCCTTGTTAATATCGCAAATTATATAAACTAGTAACTGTTGTTTGAACTATATTCTCGAGATTTCCGAGAATATGTAGAATATCATTGATTATAAAGAAAAGAGTTAATAAACTACAATTTCACAGAAAAGTTTGTTTGGGAAATTGATCGATGTACGAATACATTCTACACCCACTGTACATAGTTAGCTGCTCCGGCTGGAATCCTGCGGAGGCATAAAGAGATCTCTAATTTCACATCGTTGCTCGCGTTGCTCGCAGGCTCGGTGTAAGGTAGCGATTACAAGATAAATCCAGCATGCTTTCAGGGAAAGGCTACAGTGGTATAAACGAGGAGATCATATGGATCAGTATCGGCATGGGGATCACCATCGCTATATTGATCACCATCGCCCTGTGCTACATCGCCCGCGAAAAGTGTCGCAAACGGAACGAGGGATACTACGTCTCCTGACGCACGCTACCGCCGCCCTCCTGGGCCTCCTGGTCCTACTCGCCCACGACGCCAGGCGTCTTCTTCAGCCCCACGACCACAAGAGGCAAGCCGAGGGCGTACTATATCACCGTCTAACGCTCAACTGTGACTAATTACTCCGTTTCAGCTCGAGCGACCTGACGTTTCGTGCCAACGAAAAATCGACCGTCTCCTTCTTCCTAACAAAGATTCTCCTTCAGAGATGAGCTAAATTCTCTTATTTTGGGTGGAAAAATATTGGATCGGTACCCACGTTAAGTTGTCGTTGAATCAGATTCACTCGCGTCAAAAGTCTATCGCGCGACAAGGAAAGTCAAAGAGAAACGTAAGAGTGACGAGAGCGAGTGAAATATTACAGCGATCGAACAACTACTTAAGTTTCACATGTTCGTGATTTTGTGATATCTTACTACTATGTGTTGGGTAGAGCGAGTGGCAAAGTCCCTTTACCCCGAACACTTCTAGACACTCGGCAAATTAACATGGTCGGTCATTGGTTAATGACACAGTAGGAATGATTGCTACTCCTTGAAGGCACATATATTCTATGTTTCTGAGATTTTTTTCTGACTCATCTCTGGAGAGAGATGAAATTCTTACTCGTGTGAAAAGAATGTATAGATTGCCTGTGCTACATTGTTCGATGAGCAATGCAGCATCAGAAACGATTGGTACTCCCTAAGGAACACGATCTTTGTAATTTTATTCTGACTAACCGGTCATTTAGCATTCAGGCTATTTCTTTAACCGAAAATCAATCTATTCTGTTCCGCATTTTAATAAGAGTGCGTAGACCGTTTCAATCTATTACACTTTTTGCATTTCTGTTACACTTTTTTTTATCATCTCAACATCTTTCCTGTGTAAACGAGGGAGTCTATTGCCTCGACGCCCCGGTAAACAGGATTTCGAGTGGTCGAGAGACCGTGAGATCAAAATCCGATTAACCGAAGTACCCTGATGTGAAAATGCGACCAGTATTGATGGCGATAGGATTCGGACGCACGGCGACGTCATCTCGCTCGATCGAACGTGATCTTTTCGTCTACCTGTTACGCACACCGAGAAAGAACAATTTCGAGAAAGAGTTAACGGGCTTCCGACGCGAAAATTGTACCGCTAACGTTAAGTGAGAAATGTTTCGACGAACACATCGTTTGTGTTGGGTGCTTTTAAAATGCTGTCACGGTTTCATTGTTGTAAAGAATACTCAGCGTACATTAAGATACTTCAGAATAGGAGGTGCACCTATCAGTGCAGTACTTCAGAATGTAAAATACGCGGGCACCATTTAGTGTTTCAAAATGTAAAGATGATGCAGTGTAATTTGTCACTTTGGAGATATATTATGCACATTTCGATGTATTATAATATGAATGCCATATGATCTTTATATTTTAAAGCAATGATTTGTTTTCTATATATTCTGGACTTTCTAAAGTATTTTCTTGTGTGGTAAACAATTGCTTCACTCGATATTCCTCCTGTACGTATGTTGAACGTAACGTTCGTGTTTCTTTCTGAAGCATTTTAAAAACATTCTGTGCAATTAAATCGACACTAATCTTAAGAACGACGAGCGCAGAAACTTGCGCAAAAGCACTGTCTAAAACCAATTTTATAAATATCCTCTCGGTTTATTCAGAGCAATCAAGAACGAGAAAATAGAGATGAACAAAATTGTATTCCTATAATTTCCAACAGACAAAAGCACAGTATAATAATCCATTGAACATAAAATATAATTCCCTTTCATAATTTAAATACATACTTTTAACGAATGACTGACAAAACTTTCCCTTTTCTACATTACACAAAATTTGTACCTAACAATGTTGCCCATCTCTAAAGTATACAACACGAAAAACGAAAATACAGTTAACTCAACTCGTTAAACTTGAGTTTAACCTGGGTGGAAACCTGATGCTAATCTCATCCTTGGAGAGTCGTTCGTCGTTGCCAGCGATTCAAAATTCGGATTTATAGAAAACAAATCTACAAGAATCCATTTTGAAAGGTCGAACAATCGCGTGAGCGCGATTCTTTATAAATCAGAGATTCTGTATCGTAGCTGGTCTCTGTTTTCGGGAGCAGTGGAGCCATTTTTGAGGAAACCTTTTGGCAAGCCGCGCGACAGTTAGATTTACGAGGAAATTTCTCTGCCAAGCAGCAATATACTTTCCAAGCGTCGCTTTCGGAGCTTTTACTTCGAGCACGCGTCTAGTTCGCTCGACTGATCAATTTTATACGTCGACGGGCACTCGGCGTTCATTCGAAAACGTACAAATGTCAATTTGTGCGGGATTGTTGTAAGCTCTTTCTCCGTCTACGAGATCTTTCTCTGACCTACACGGTAATTGTCTTTTATAAGGAATCACATGGACGAGCCAGTTATCAGAAATTTATTACTATCGTCTTACTAATTCAATTAGAATTACAGAACATAAAGGTGCAGGTATCCATCGATATGACGACAAGAATCGTACCATTTACGAGCGTCGACTCGCTTGGGTGGTGACCAATTAAGCAGAAGACATGTGATTAGAGAAAATTAAAATTGTTATATTTTTTTAATGTATATTTTCGGTGGTGTTATCGAATGGCGATGTTCTCTTGATGAAAATGAATCCAAACACGACCTAATTCTGACTACTTTTAATTTTAGTTTTTTAAAACCATCCATAAAAATCTAAAAATTATGTGAAACTAAAAGTCGTTCGAATTAGGTCGTGTTCGGACTCATTTTTATCAGGGAACCATCGCAGATCTGTTGATAATACTCCCACGAAATTTAATTTCTTTCTAGCCTAATTTAATTCAACATAAATGTTTTTATTAAGTACAAGATTCAAATTGATTTTGTTCAATAAGTTTCTTTACCTGTTTTCAATCGTGGAATAGTCAAGGAAAGAAGGAAACAAGGAAAACTCGACGCACAATAAACTCTCGCTCGTACCTCGAGGTTACTCTATTAAAAAAACAAATACATAATTAGAATATAAGCTATGTGAAAGTACTTATCTGATTCGTATGTATCATAGGATGATACCTTTATTTCATCCATTGATATAACACGTTTTTCGTTACTTAATCGACTTGAAACGTGAATATTACTCGGTTACTTAAATGTATCATCGTTGGAAACAGCCACAGGAACCTTTGTTCTTTAACATAAATAAATTTTATTAACGTATCAAAGTGATTTGTAAAGAAGAAACGAAGGCAACTTAAAATACTAAAACAAAAATGTCACAAGGACGAGTGCAATTCGTTACAAGCATACTCGAAAGCAAAGATACAGACTCAAAGAATAGATTATAGTTGGCGTTTTCTTCTTAATCTTAATTCGTTTGTATACAAAAATTTCTAGTGTTTTCAACCAGAGTTGGGCACAATTCTAATCGATAAAATTAAGTATTACATTCGTCGTCATGTAGCACAATAATTTGATAACGGAATAACGGATACAAAATTACTCATCGTTTACTCGCGTTATCTTTTATCTAAATGAGAGTTTTGCCTATCTCTGCTTTCAACCATTCCTGGTGAATACACAAAAACAATGTATCCATGTGTTAAGGGTACTCGACTGTAAATCATTCGCTCGAGATGAAGATCTCCATTAGATGAGCGTTGAACGTGCGAGAAGGATTACTGAAAGAGACTTTTAAACTCGATTGTCAGCCGTTAAACGTACAAAAGGGTCTCAATGTAACATTTAACTCGTAAAACGTAAGGATTCTGACCAAAACTTTAGTATATACTTCAGAACTGAGATTAATACCAGGGTCTCGATCTGTATTACGGCCTGTAGACTGTATAGAGCGAGTGTAGAGTAACAAGTACACGTTATTAGAGAATTATACATTGTTGAGACGTGAACAAAATCTATTACGTAGGCGTGACGTGGGTGGCGTAGCGAAATATAAGCCTCTTGGTGGATCGAGTGGTAATTGATTCGATTTTTTACGTTCCAATAAAGGTGACTGCAGTTATGGTATTCTTAACATGTTGCTTACTTAATGATTAAGGATTTTACAAACTCGTCCTACTCAAGTCAGTGGCGTAACATGTCTTTATGTTGAGGTCTTTTAGAGGAAAGTAGATTCTTTCCGCTAAACTTCATCTATTAGACAGATTAAATTAGTAATTTTAAGAAATTAATTTAAAGAAAGATAACGGAGCAATAGTCATTCCAAAACTTATATTTTTTCAGAAGTATAAAAAATTATGTTTGCTATTACACACCCTCGGTTACGCCACTGAAACCTCTCAGTCGTCACTGACATATCTAGTACTTGAAGAGATACATTGATTCGACATAAGCATATATTACACTATAATTTCTACAGCTAAATATCTAATTAAAAATTCTATATGAAAATCATTTTAAAACGACTAGTACATCTCTCTGCCAAAAAGTATTCATACTTTTTCTACTTAAAACGTCTTAAGAATAATTAAAGATCACAGAATTGAGCTTTTAATAGCTTAGGACTTAAAACAACTTGGCAAGAGGCTTATACGATCAAATGAACTTCCAATATCCGATGTTCCTCGCGAAACCGATTGCGTATCGTGAAATTCGAGTAGTTTTTTACAAAGGCGACGGATTTTAAAGGTTTAATTAATGGATGTTACGCAGACGGCCGCTTAGTGGGTAAACTCGTGTTTCTATTGAAAGTAGCTGCTGTTTTACGATAAGAGATTTATCAATTCCGCGGCGCGGTTCGATATTTCGTCTATTGCAATGACCAACTTAATAGATTGCTCTATGTATCACGATACATTATTTCTTCTAGTGAATTTGTAACAAATAAACCATTAAAGATGTCTTGGATGAACCTTCTCATTTTTCTTGGCCATTACAAGACACCAGAAGTAAACCTATCGCGTTTAGCAATTATTTCTTATAATTCTAAAATCAATTTGTAGACTATCGAAAACATATGAATTATATCGTAACACGAAGCACATGCGAGGAATCAGAATACAGGTGAGAGTTGTCATACTTTTATTCGCCGAAGGTATCCATTTCCGTGAAAGCTATATTATTGTCGAGACTGCGAAATTAACATACACCATTTACAAAATAATGTTGTTAAGTTTTCAAATCGTTGATCACAAATTAATTATAATGACTAATTGCGTATACTATAAATCTGTACATTTATTTTGTTCGTATGTCATTATTTCAGAATTATAGTTGCAATAATAATAATAGTAATAGTAATAATAATAGTAATTATAATAAGAATAATAATAACAACAATAGGTATCGACGATATGATTACATCCAAATGATAATTGGCAATTTCCTATCTAGTATCATACAGCATTTCAATAATTTATACGAAATCATTAACGGGATCCATAATAACTCGTAACGCATGTTCAGCTAGCGCAGGAACTCTCAACGCGATTGGAAAAGGAGAACAAGCTGCCGATCGATATCAACTCACTCCTCGCATCAGTCTCTCTCCTTGTACACTCGCAATTCAATAAGCCTCAAAATCAAAGAGAAACTATTAAACAATTCTTTCGTTTACAAACGCATTGCTGACATCAATACTTAGATACTAAGCATCAAGAAATGCAGCAATGGGTGTAATTTTTATCTAAATTATAATTACGTATGACACGAAATTACACTTCACATTTAACAAACTTCCTGTTGAAATGTGCGATCAACAATATTCGTTATTCAACGCGCCATATCTCCAACGAATTTCAACGAAAACCCTAAATTCTATCGAACGTGAATCTGATCCGTTTGCCCAAGTAAAATTGTCCGACCAAAAGCATTTCCAGGAAATATATATCATTGATACTATTGCGAATGACTGCTCTATGAAACAATACTATAATAGAACACAAGTTTTTCGTATAAGGTTAGGAAGACTATATTAATTACAAATAGAATTCGTGCGAAACAATGTGATTCAGAGTGAACGTAAATCGGTGAAGAAATTCGTTAAGCGAACCTTAATTCTAAGAGGATCGAACATTGGATCCGCTATGCTGCCTAAGAAGTTGACACACCAAAGTAATTCTTAGCGAAGTAGGTCGGATAATTTGTGAATATAGCGAATGGGAAGACTAAAAATTATTAGGACGATTTTCTTATTTTGTAGATATCTTTTCTTTTGTAAGCTCGCACACGTTAACCTCCTAGCATCCTCGTTATGGATATATACGCATGCAAGCACCGCAACAATAAAACAAACACGCATACGCGCACGGACTCACCCGTCAAAATACCGTTCACCTGCAAGGGGAAAAGAAAAAAAAAGTGATGTCTGTGATGTATCGATAAGATAACAGTTTAAAGGTAGGCAAGAACATATTGACAAGTATTGTACAGACGTGGACGAAACGAATTGATCACTATTCAGAGTTCTGAAAGAAATTCAATTTACACTCAAGCGTAATCGAACGTATTCGAATAAAACTAACGCGATGCACTTTTATGTTAATAATAAGTAGAAGCTGACTCGTCGTTCAATTTTCCGTATATACACGTAATAGCTTAATATAGAACAGGGCGACTTTCTCATTCTTCGAAGAGCCATATCTGTATTCGTTTCATTGCAAAAATGGGAGTCGACGATTTCGAATAATACTTAAAATAAGTACACTGGACGAGTTGTGAACTTATGAAATTAGTGCGATTGCAAACCAACTGACAATCGATTTTTCGTAAAGTTAATTGTTCGCATCAGGAGGAATTACTGCAAGGAATGAATATATTATTAAAAACGACGTATAAATTTCGAAGGAAGAAAAATAACAACTTTCCCAATCAGGAACAAGTCTTGCACCTTTTGTTCGTTTTTTTTTTCGCTCACATCTCGCATCACGTATCACGATAATTATGTTATAAGATGCTCTTTGTACGGGCACATCATTCTCATCGTCGTATTTCATAACAAACGACCAGAATCCTTCCGTCCGAAATGGAAAACGAATTTAAATAATAAGACACCCTCGGACAGTCATTTTTAATTTTTAATATATGTTGCATTTATATTGCGTTTCGCGCATTCGAGCAGACCTGCTATTGGAGGTCGACGCCTTCTTCGCAGATCACAAAAGGAAAACTGATCAAATGCACGATGTTCCAAAGTTTGAGGAGCGTTCCATAGACGGCGTTACGACCTCGGCCCACAACTCACACGTAAAGGTACCATTGTGTCGGACGTGGAAGTTTAAATTTCAAGTCACTTCATCCGTTACACTTCTTACAAGACTTCGCGCGACATCACGAAGCGTACATTCTGTTAATTTCGTGTTGATATCGTTCTTGCACCGCTTTCCTCTTAAGCTTGAACGCGGCTGTCACTAGTCCTGTATCCGGGGACCATTGTTCCGAGCACAGCTTCACAGCGCCAGGAATCTCGAATCTCTGGAGTTTGCCTAACGAAAAAAAAAAATCCAACATCGTTCGTATGTGAGAATCCATGAGAAATAAATAAAACGATATGTTAAACATTTACATTTTTTGGCTTGTTCGATCAGCTCTTGCAATATAGCTTTCTCTACTTGTGGGTCTTCGCACAATTCCTCGAAAGTTTTGTTAGTAATACCGTGGTTCTTGGCAATCTCTTCAAGGTAATAATGATTAGGTACCACTAATGCTACCGTGTGGGTCTTATGCGCATCTCCGTAGACACAAATATTCTCCACGACCGGAGACGTCTTCAATTCCGCCTCCACTTTCCCCAGGGACACGTACTCACCAAGTTGCAGCTTCACTAGATCTTTCTTTCGGTCTGCGAAGATCACATTAACCAAGTTATAGAAAGTTATAATTAGAAACAGTAGTAAGACGTACGAACGTAATATAAAATTCCCGATCGTACCGATAATCTTTATGCACCCGTCTTCGTGGCATTCTCCAATGTCACCCGTTCTGAACCATTGCCTTCCGTCTTCCTCGAAGAAGTCTTCCTTCGTCTTCTCTGGTAATTTGTAATAACCAGCGGAAACATTTTTCCCTCCAATAAGGATCTCACCTCTAGGATAAGGTTTATCTGTCACCCTGTAACCCGCCTCTTCCCAATTTTCCAGACGAATGTCGCAAACTGTCGTTGGGGCTCCTACCCTTCCCGTACTTCTGTCGTGTGCTTAAACAAAAATGTCTCGTTTTAAGCAATCCTACTTTCGAAATGTCATTTTTTTCTATCATGAAATACCTACCATCCATAACAGTAGCACACGAGGTTGTTTCCGTGAGACCGTATCCCTGCGTGACGGTAACGCAAAGACAAATTTTGACTTGGGTATGGGTGTCCGGGGACAAAGGTGCACCACCGCAGAGTATAAGTCTGACTCGTCCACCGAGAACTTGCCTCGCAGCTCCAAAGATAAATTTGTCAAAAAGTGGCGTTTCGTAACCACGTTTTGTCCATTTCAATTTGTACTCGTAGGCAAAGTTGAAGATCGCTTGTCTAAACAGACCCGATTTCTTTACTTTCTCGTTTATTCCTTTCGAGATACGGTCGAGGATAAGCTGAAAGCATGAGCGATTATTAAGAGTTCCTATTATCATGTTATAAATTATTATGCATTAAATTGAAAACTTACTGGAACGGAAGTTAAACAGGTGGGGTGTAAAACAGACGCGTCGCCCTTGGATCCCCTTTGAATTTTGCTACTGGAATCGATCATAGTAAGGGGCGAACTGTATCCAATAGGCACACCAGTTAGAAGACATACGCTTTCAGCGAGAAGTTCGAAAACGTGGGCTAAAGGTAAAAATCCAAGAAAGACGTCATCTGATCTTATTTCCACGGCATCGCAGAAAGCCTGAAGTGTGTAAATTATATTCGAGTGAGACAGGAGAACACCTTTCGGCACTCCAGTGGAACCAGACGTGTACATTATAATCGCTGTGTCTTCTGTTTGTGGTAATTCCATGGATGCTGTTGATGTATTGCCTTTTTTAATTACGTCAGAGTATGGTATAAGTCTCACGCCATCCTACAGAATAAACACGATTAAAAATTATAATAACATTCACTTGTATTGGCTTACATTATATTAAATTTGAATATTATTTTCCTTTAAAATATATCTCATCTATTTTCTCATGAGTTCATTCAATACATTTGCATGTGAAAGTTACTTTACATTTTATTGGTATATTTATTGTCGATCAATTAATATTAATGTAACTTAAAAAAAATTAGCTATTTCCAACAAGCGCTAATATAATAAATTAACATGCCATATAAATCAAATTGAATGGCACGATAGTATAACATATATAGCTTACCTTGTAACCAGTTGTGTCCGTAGGTTTCAGCTGATCCTCCATATAAATCACCGTTTTAACGACGGGCACCTTTTCCAGGAGCCGTTTGAACTTCGGCAATAAATCATGGCTGGTGATGACAGTGTCTACTTCCGTTTCATTGATACCATGAGCGATAGCATCGTCGCCCAAAGTAGCATAAATCGTGACTACAGTTAAATTCTGTCTAAAGCATCCATAGGCTGCTATCATCCACTCCGCCCTGGTCTCCGCGAAAATCACAATATTCTTGCGTACCGTAAGCCCCAATTCCCTCAAACCACGACTGAAGGAGACTGTGAGCCTGTCCACATCTACATAGGATTTCCATTTGTACTCTCCCATTCTGTACTGCGTAAGAGAAATAATTTTCAATTAGTACTCAAATGTTAATGCAAGCTTTATTATTTAATATCACGATTAAAACTCAACGCACTGAAGTTACACAAGTTCTATAAAATACCGCAGGTCTTTACCTCCTACTAGAGGCTTTCAAGCAAATAATGCCATAGTTCAAAGCCATTAAACGTTGCTCGTTACCTCGATAAATATTGCCTCTAGCTGGCATGTACGCTAACACGTTTCTACTTAGGATTCGATTTTCCTTTGACTGATCGGATAAAAAAGCATGTCAGTTAGGAAATTGAAAGTGGCCCTGATACCTGTATAAAGAAGCACGCTACCAAAGCGCTCCCTTGCTTTGTATGAAAGCATACTTTCTCATACGATAGTTAATATCGGAATTATTGAAGCTACTATAGGTGGTTCAACCTGTTGTATGTATGCTTCTTGTGTAAAATACTTCAGGCCATTATCTCTTACATGAAACTTCTAAGCAAATATTAACATAGTTCAAGGCAATCAAACTTTGCGCGCTATCTCGACAAATATTAGCTTTAGATGGTCTATACTCCGATACAGATTTCTACACAGAATTTTATCTTCCTTTAACTGATGGGATAAAAACTTAGTCCTGTTCGCAAGTTACACAAGTTCTATAAAATACCTTTTTAAATATTCTACCATTGGGCTGAAGCTCGTCCTCGTCGGCGAGGATCTGCCTGGTACCGAGGCACCTTTTATCCCCGTGGAGTTTCGAGACCCAGGACAACATTTTCACGAGGGTGTCGATCTTTTCACGCTTGAGGGCAACGTGCATGGGCCCCGGGGAGTCAACGCTCCTGTAGATGACGCTGTGCTCATCCTTGGCGACCGCCCGCGCCTTGACTCGCCTCGACGCCTTCCGTTTCTCCCAAGGTCGTTGGAGAATGAGGTAAACGGGGAACGTCAGCAGGTCGTACACGTACGAAAGCGCCTTGATCGCGTTGATCGCTCCGATAATCCAGAAGCCTTCCATTTCCCTGGAAAGGAGGAACGAGGCTATATAAATAATGTTTTTACTGTCGTCGGCATCCTCGAGTCTCTTTCACGGTTCTTGGCCTCTGTGGTTAAGGCTTCCGTGATTCGTAAGCCGTGGTGCCCTTTTAGAAAAGGTTTCCAACGTTTCGTAGCCATCGCAACTGTGGTGCAGGATGATTCTGGTAACTGGGCCAGGTTACGGCTCTGTTCTAACGAGGAACATCCGCGAAGTGTCCCCCCCTTGGTTTTTATGAAACTTGTCGGGTTCATAGCGCGGTCAGAAATAGGGAATACAATATTATTACGTAAAAAAAATATTGTGTATGATTTATCGAATGTTGGTTTTTTTTGCCAAGGTCATATTTTGTGAGATTTCAAGGTCATTGACATTTTTTTTAACCGAGGTGCATTTACATTACTGTGATATTGTAACCCATGCAAAGACTATGAATAGAATATCTTAACTTTTGGATGACCTTCCGAGCAATTCTTTTTATGAAGTCATTATTTAGTGATTTATTGATATTTATAGCGTTTCGTGTAACCACCAGGATTTTTCTTCACGGTGCAAATAAATTTCCAATGAACAATAAATTAAACGCTTTGTACGGTGACAATTTTCCCCATTCATTTAGTCATTCACGGTTCCGTAACAACTTAAGTGTATATTCAACCTATTTATTTCATGAGGATTAAATTGATCCCACCGTACAAGTTATGTAACAAGTGTCTTTCACTCTAGCAGTTGTGGGGCCAGCAGAGCCAAGCGAATTGTAAACAGAGTGACAACTATGTTTCTTTGATGATGAGATTCTCGATGGTTAACGAACAACACGGCTTCCGATCACAAAGACCAAGGAACCTTGACTCGTTACAAACCGCACTTGGGTATTGTTTGAATAAATATTTATTCAAAAAGCACTGGTCACTATTCATACACGCTCAATTTGTTCGTGAATTCAAAAATACCGTGTACACATGAATTTTCATTAAGGTTTATTCTAATATTACCGCCTGACTCAGCAAGTAACAAATAAAATTTCACATTCGAGTAAGAATGCAAATTTACTTAAAGTATCCACGCTCAATTTGTTTACGAATTTAAATATACCGTGTCCACATGAATATTCATTCACAAAATGTATGCAATCATCGCCTGACTCAGCAAATATCGAATAAAATATTGCTCAAGTAAGAAGAAAAGTGTGTTCAGTCGCTCGCGACTAAATATCGCTGTTTTATTCGTCATTCGAAATAAAATGTACCCAGATAGAACGTTTCGTCTTTCTCAATTCGTTGCAAGGTCGCATGCTAGTTTTCTCGATATCCTTGCAACGACTCGTGGCGTAAATAATAACGGAAGCTATCGACTCGAGACATGCACTGTGCAAAGATAACAGCGATGCAAAACGATTTTACATTCGAGTGATTTCGTAACCAAAGTGATTGGTAGTGCCAAGCAATCGTGAGCTACAATCTTCTGTTCATGCCTGTTTCGTTGGTTACTCTCGCACGCTGAGCGAACCGCATGCGAATGTCGACCGGAAGGAGGATCCAATGCGTAGACGGACGTGCAAAGGGGAAGGCGTGAAACGAGAAAGAAGAAAAAGCCATTTGTAGAGTGTCGATAACAATGTGTTCAGTGTTTGCTTAATCCTCTACTGTATTTTATCTGTCTACCTACTACAATACCTTTTGTTTGATTAAGATTAAAATGTCTAATATCTACTTGTAGCCAACACCACCAGAAAAAACTTAACAGAATACAATTTATGTTTTCTACTTTCTTAAATTGATTAGTTCTCGATTTATCGATATGGACATTTTTCTGTACGAATAACGATAACGTGGAATTATTTTCCAGTGGAGATTATGTTGAAGGTGCTCGTTCATTTTTAGCAAATCATGGTTAAAACAATCTTTGTCTGTAATTGTTTATTTACACAGGACATCATTCTAATCTCATACTGAGTGTTATTTACAATTTACAACAATCGTTAAATTTTTATTAGCCATTATCTTCGTACCAAAAAATCTCCAGGTCCGTAAGCTAAAGCTTAGTACTAAATAATTATTACACCTTGCCAGACAAATATTATCATTTCTGGATAGGTTGAAAATCAACTTTGTATACATATGCAATCTATTAGATGAATAATACTCTTGCGTGGACCATTCCTCCTGTTTGCGTAGTTCGCTGTTTCAACAAAACCGGCGACGAATTATGTTCACCTTGGGTGGCGTAAGATCCAGAAACACTTTCGTGAGCGAACGTGAACTTTTTCGAATGCTTCGCGACCAACGTACCGTGCAAATGCACGTTAGTAAGGAAGAACGCGTTATGTGTGAGCATTCCGAGCGTGGTTCACAGTCTAGAAAAGTTTCATTTGCGAGGTTAAGTATCACTTGTGCAAATAAAGAGATATGCCTTCCTTAACGCAGTAATTGCACGGAGCATTCGAAGGCTGATTTTCAATGAAACCATGATTCGCTTCGATCGCGATTGTACGTGTGTGTATACTTCAAGATTTATTCACCGAATCGTGGAAATCGATCCAATACACCAATCGAGCATTATTTCGAAACTGACTTTACCAACAGGTAGCGATTGTACATATAATTAAATTCAATAATACTATTCATTTTCATAATATTAGTATTATTCAATATTTATTTGATCTATTAGAATAATTTTCAGATCAATATTTTAAAATAATATTTCATAATCCATGTAATGATGGGAACATAAAGTGTTATCTTAATAATAGATAACATTATCCTAGCAAAACCCCGATAAATAGGCTACCAATCAGTAAAATGGTAAGATGTGTACTGTTTTTTTATCCTTGTATTCATAATGAGCGTGTCTAATTAACTCGAAACACTTGCGTCGGAAGATTCCCACATTTCACATTCTTTTACCCTACGTTAATCCTACACTCCGTCATACACCGAGTGTCCCGCAAAACTGAATTACATACTTTCTTGCATACTTTCTTCACTAAAAAATGACGAAGAAACCTTCACAAAGCTAGATGCTGAATAGTAAAACGGTGAGGGTGTTGACCTTGAACGCCCAAATTTTTCATCTCAGATTCGAGAAAAGTATTTTGCTCGCAGGAACAAGCCTGTCGACGGGAATATAAAAAGCCCTTCGTTTTTACCACACAGGACGAAAAGTCCATGTGCGTGGCACGAACTCAGCTCCACGCAGTCTCGACAACGGTTGTTGCGTCTGTCTCGAGCTAACGACGTTCAAAGTCCGCAGAGATATTCGAATCTCGTGCACTTGTTTCATGTCACGCCACGCTTAGACTCGTGTGCGTACCAGTCGCCATTGCACCATACATACAGTGTCCTATTGAACTTTGTCCGACTATATTGCCGAAATGATTGGATGTATGCAGGAAAACGTTAAACGATGTTGCATACGCGTGTTCTTTTTTTCTCATAATTGAAATTCTGTATACTTTAGTCTGGCGATTGGGAAGTCATTTATCTTGGTCAGTATGAAAGCGCTCGCTTGCGACGAGTTAACGATAAAATTACTGTCGATCAAGCCATACCTGTTCGAATACGAATTTATTAATAATTACTATTATTAAGGGTAGAAATTAATTCTCTGCCCTCAGATTCAGTCTTTTGCAAGAAGAGACCTAACATATCAAAAGTGTCGACGGGGGGACGGTTCGCGGCACTTCTCCTCGGACTCGTCTCGAGATCGGTCGCGTCGACGGAACGCGTTTTAGACTTTTGTGTGTGTGTTTTTTTTTTGTGCGTTTGGGTGTTGAGTGCTGAATGATTTGTTCTGAATAATAATACACGTTAGGACAACCTACAATTTGGTTGAGTCCTGTCACACGCCTGCCTCCTTTCCCTGACATCTTACATTTTTATATTTGTAGTTTAAGTAAAAGATATTGACTCGTCATTTTGTTAAGTTATGTTGCCAACCTTCTAAATTCTCAAACTGATTTTCATTGCAATGAGTTTATATAAGTCTCAACCGGATAGCCCTTAGCAAGGACCTTTTGCACTTCATCGTGGACACATGGAACTCTTTCCACGAGGTTGTACAGCGATATGATGAATGACAGGACACCCAATCAGTAATTTGTATGCAAAACTTTGCATATCACTTGCTTATGTATCACGTCCATTATACTTGTCGTTTCCGCATAATATTAGAACGAAGATATCTAGCTAAAAGGTAGCAATTATGACTCTGTCTAATTTATAGTATTAGGTTGTCCCAAACGTTTCTTTCGTTTTATTAATAAGTAATACATACACAATATTTTATGTCTAATGTTACATTATTGCATTGTGTACGATTCATTTTGCTCCATTATTGTTACAACATCAACATCTAAGAAATTAAATTATCTATTTATATAAACACTGCCACACAAACTAATCGAGTGCAAATTACGAAAGAAACTTTTGGGACAACCTAATAAAAGTAACTTTTAAAATCCAAAGTGATTAATCTCGAGTTTGTTCACATCGCTTATGCCTCGCATCTGATGTAAACGTACTATAAATCTTGGTCATAGTATAAATATAATATTGTATTACGCGTGGATAGCACTATCTACTCTAGATAAAAAAGAAAAAACTATTATGTAAATTATAGTCTAAAGATCAAAGTCAGTATCGAATTACGTCATGTAAAAATGCGAGAACGAGTAATTAATTTCCCGGTTCACTCGCCAAGATAAACTATCATTATTTCTTTCGTGTTCCCTCGTTTCGAACTATAAAACTTTCGAGACCATAAATTATAACGCTAGATTTATAACGAAATGTTATAAATCATCGTATGTCACGATTTCTTGTTCTTTTGAATATATTACCATACTGCGTTTAGAGATTTTGCATTTCAACGAGAACAATTAATAAATTTACATCTTATTCTATTTTATCGGTCACTTCAAATTATCGTACGTTAAACTTTAGGTTATTAAAGTTTATAGACATTACAGAAATATGTCTGAAATAAATCTGAAATAAATAAAGACTGTGTTACATAGCGTTGGTTTAAATTCAAAGCTACTGTTTTCATTAATGCAAGGCTAAACAGGAAAAATGTGCTCATGCACATGCATAAGTGGGCGTACATGCGTAACGAAATTTAGTATACAAGAGCATAGAGTGTAGAGAGAATAAATTAGTTGGGAATGTCAATGACTGCAACGACTCACTGTTTATCCTCCACGATCATGGTGGCAAATTCCTGTTGCCTCTTAGTTCCAAGAGATACGCACTTCCGGTACTGTAAGAGGAGTTGTTTTGATGCGATTTAATGACACTGCAAGAAAAACCATCGCCAAAATCGAAATGGTTAATACGTGTGAGTAGGACGGGTCTACTCTACCATTATCGCTTTCATCAGCAGTTCGAGGGTGATTACTAACATTGTTCTCGACATAAACGCCAATTTTTTCGCGATTACGATCGCAGCTATTCCCTCGCGTCCTTGAGATGCTAAACGAAATGCGATAGCGATTTCTCAAGTAAAGCGGTCGTATGACAAACGCTTAAGAATAACAAAGATCCGGAGGTGCTGTGTACGCACTTTATGTGGGACGATATCAGCTGTGGAACAATCTGCACATGTAAGTTCATGGACAGTTTTTATATGATACGAGTCACCACTTTTTGTGTTGACAATTGGCGATAAACCACATGGCGTCACTAATCTAATTGAACTTTAATAGCTCTAAACGTTTAGAAATAAATTATTTATATAAACGTAGGACATCAATTAAAAATTATTTATTGAAAAAAGAGAAATTGGAGGTCTTCTTAGACATACATATACAGGGTGTCCCAAAAGTCGGGGAGGAGCCGGAAATGGGGGGTAGCTGAGACGATTTTGAACAACAATTTCCTTTGCAAAAATGTCGGATGGGGCTTCGTTAAGGAGATATTCAGCGAAAACCCCGACCAATCAGAGCGCGCGTAAACCGTTCGAGCGGCCGCGCTTGTACGCGAACAAGTGACTCGACGTGCATTGAAGGATATTGACGCTGCCGCCTAGCGCGTAGCCTTCGCTACCACGGCTGCTCCAGCGGTCTACGCGCGCTTTGATTGGTCAGGGTTTTCTCTTAATATCTCCTTAACGAAGACCCATCCGACATTTTTGCAAAGGAAATTGTTGTTCAGAATCGTCTCAGCTATCTCCCATTTCCGGCTCCTTCCCGACTTCTGGGACACCCTGTGGACCCATGGAACGGATTGCATTGAATAAACAAGTTACACAAATGTTAGTGTTTTATGTTCTTATTGGTATTGATTGATTGAATTTTTTACCGATTACGTACGAATAATTATATAAATAAAACGTGACCTGATTAAATGCTTGGTCCGATAAACAGATTGCATATGCTACGTAATGTGTTGAACGTAACGTGATGTCAAACACAGAGTCATGAAAATTGAGGGAATGTATTTGTGCGATTTTCTGGAGTCAGACATTTTTAAATGCGTTCTTTTTTTAACACTAGTGTGCATGTGTCAATTCCTAATTTATTTTAAACACTATAAGACGAGGGTAACTCAATTGTGAATGAATAAAATATTTGTTATTCACATTTATTTATACGAAACATTTCCTTAGAAGTCAAATCTATATAAAAAGCCAAATACGCTGCACAAACTGAAGAACTATCTCACTATTTACCTTTTTCTAATTCTGTACACTCCATTAACCAAGGAACCAGTCAATAATTAGAGGAAGAGTGGGCAAGTCGAGAAATGCTTAAAGGCACTTTGTACCTCCACTACATTTATACCAAATTCAATAACTCCTAGTTTCACAACAGAAAACTTCCAAGATACCTTGCTGTTTGGTTTAATGGAGTCAGTATTGTATTACAACTTGGTTCCTTCACTAACGAGAGTCAATATCATTACAAATGCTTCCTGCATCTGTGATAAGAACGGAACATGGATTCGTAATACAAAACAATGAGATTGACAATAGACTTCCTATTTTATAATATTCGTATATTAAACTGAAGTGGATATTTGTTTACTATCTAAAGGAACGCATAGGATTACAGGAGACCTCGGTTATTAATAATAATAATAAAAAAAAAAAAAAATGTATAGTCCAGAGATCTTTTATTCTAAAGTCGAGTGTGTTCGTATTTAATTGTAAATCCGTGAGATAGCGCCACTGAGGCGTTTACTAAAGACTTGAACGAAACATATCCTCCACCTTCACTTTCACCTTCACCTTCACCTTCACCTTCCTTTCCCCATATAAACACCTTTCCGTCTACCGCTTGCCAACTGTCAGCTACTGTATCGTAATACAATACGTTATAAAAAGAAACGCTCTAATCTCGTGCCAGAATATTCTCCCTACAAGTCGAAATAACGTCCCAATTCGGCACATAAACAACGTCGAGATTGTAACAGCAAAAAAATGATGAAACGATTATTTATAATATCCTTTTCGGTTATGTACTGAATTTGCGTTGTAGACATCGTTTTGTAGGTCACAGAACACTGCTAAGATGGTTTAACTCGGTTGCAGTTTTACGGCTCGGCTGCGTAACGAGTTGTGAATCGGTCAAGTGCACTTTACCCTCAATGGTACGACCACGTGCTGATTTATTTTGTGCACAAACACGAATACGCTGGAAGTGCGACCAAAAAAATGCAAAGCAAAATTAAGCTGACGTTGAAATTAACATGTATTATGAAATTATGAGAAAGACGTATAGCGAGATCGAGTCGGAACAAACCTAAACTGCTGATAACTGAGTTGAAAATTAATAATTGTAATAGTAAGTCGTGTTTTGATTTTATTTTTATTTTATTGCCTATTGGATTTTCATGATTAATTATTGAGAAATGATCATTGCTCTCCTTGAAAATGAATAACAGTATTCAAATTTTGTCTTTCTTCGTGTAGGAGTTTGGGAAATAAATAACTGATAAGGTATCTAGGCATGCATCACAATGAATAGTTAAGATAAAAGACATATTTTTCGTCGATCAATTGATTGATAAGAAAGATTGTACAGACAAGGGTTACGGGGATCTTATTGAATAATCAAATGTCTACCTCAAAGTTGAGCGTGTTTCGATTAAAACGGCGAATAGAATATTCTCGAGAAAATACAGATTTTTACATTTATAAATATCCATATAAGTAATCCGATTGATATCAAGGGAAAATCTTCAAGAAATTACGAAACGATTCTACAAATAAGTAAAATAATCATGTATCATAAAAGTGGACAAAATATTATCAACAAATCAAAAATATATTAATATTTAAGCTTCGATATCGTACAAAGTACCATTAAAATATTTCCCTTTCCACTGCGTTTATTGTTTCAATATCAACCACGTGACACATACGGAAACAACGATCACAAACAATAATCTCTGAACACAAATCAATTAAATAAAAAAAATTCGTTAGATAAATTGAAATGAAAGTAACAAAGTCCAATACTAATCATCGTGTGTACACAATGAAGTGATGTCACAGACGTGAATCTCCCGATTGGTGGAATGACATTGGTGACTCAATTCTACCAATTGGAATTTGTGACACGCTTCTGTCCCTGACGTCACGTTACTATTCGGTTGAACGGAATAAAGTCCAGCCTGGCTCGAGCAGATTCATCCCGATCGCCCGAGACAATGTCGGTTTCTACGAAATTGTCCGAATGAAAGAAGCAAAGAGGAAAAATCGCGAGTAAAGTTCACGCCAAAATTAGAACGCTTCCAAATAAATGCTCATATCGAGACAACCACGACTACAGAGACGGAGGTGAAAAAAAAAAGACGACAACAAGTTGAAAGGGCCACTCGTGGAACCCCTGTCCTCTTTGAAAATAGACAACCGGGTCACTGAGCGACGGTTCCATCGAGTTTCGCGTATATACCGGGTGTTCGTTCTATTGTCCAGCTATTTTCTCAAGAGTCCATGGAGCGGGGAGAAAAGGAACAATGTAAATGGACAAAGTTTGAGTACTTTATGCAAAGAATTATTTCCTTTGTTGACTTAAGGAAGGGAACCACATTAGGAGATCAATTTGAAGTATTTTGCGTGATTGGTTTGTTGTTGATTACTTAATTTCGTTGTTATGAAAAACTGTCATTTATTAATAAATAATCTGACTGACGAGACAAATTTCATGACTGATTGGCACAGTAACGTTTAAGATAACGGGATGTTAAAAGTGAAAGACATAATAAATATCTTGTAGATAGTGTAAGTGGGTTCAAGCAACGGTCAAAAGTTCAGAATTGATACCAGTTATAACGTGGATCTTCTATGTACAGTGGGTGTAGAGAGTATTCGTACACCGATCAATTTCCAAAACAACTGTATGAAATTGTAATTTGTTAACTTATTTTTTATAAACTATGACAGTCTACATATTCTCGGAAATCTCTAGAATAGATAGATTACAAGAAAATAGCTATTTATGTAAATTGCAAAATTAACAAGAGAAAAAGAATTTATCGACAGAAATGTTGAAGCAATAAGTATTCGCATAACTGTTTAATTTTTAACACTTGATTAAAAAGAATTAATTTTATTGATTACTTTTGATTTTATAATTATTGTAACTTTTCTAAGCATTAAATTAAACTAAATTATTAGTTATTCGATGTGGAATCTTTTTCCATTCCTCTATTAGAACCTTTTTTAAAAGTACTTTATTAGAAATTTGATATTTTCCAATTCGTACGGAGCAATAAACTAGTGTGTTTACGTTACAAACTCTACTCTAAATGGTTCGTCATAAGATTCGTACAAATACTTATTGCTTCTATACTTTTATCCACTTTTCGCATTTCTTCTTTAATTTCACAAATTATATTAACCAGTAAATGTTGTTTGGACTATATCTATCTTAGAGACTTCCAAGAATATGTAAAATATCATTGATTATAAAAAAAGAAGTTAAGAAACTACAATTTCATACAAAAGTTTTTTGGGAAATTGATCGGTGTACGAATACATTCTACACCCACTGTATATGTATGTAAATATATATCTAGATACACATACACAAGTTGCATATAGGTGCAAGTGTACACCCTGTATATACGAATACAGTGAACAGCCTAAATACATGCGTGTGTTATATTCACCCAACTTCAACCTTGAACAATACTGAGGCGTCACTCTAAAATATTTTGACGATTTCTTTCATTAAAAATTAAAATAATTATCAATATGCCTTTCCATTCGTTTGTAATTGTAGTATAAATAAAGATAATAACAACGAAATACGCACTTTGCTTAGACGTTTGGCACAGAAATGCTTCGAAAGGTACAGAATTTCTACACCTAATACTTCAAGAGAGAAAAAAAATAAAATACCCACCGAAGTGCTCTATGTGATTAACGTTATCTGATATAAAGTTTACTTATATAAATGACGAACAATCTGGATTACATGGAATTATAATAAAATATCTTATCAATTCTTCTAGAAACATCTTCCTTTGTATGATCTATCACGATCAGATCACTAAAATTTCTCGATAACAAGTTTAATGTCGATTTGAACGAAAATAACTCCAAGCTAGGCCACGTGCACTAGACAGTTTATGGAAATATATTTATCTGAGTTCCAACAAACTTGTAAAATATGTTTGCGAATACATTAATCAAATTCAAATTGAGGCGAACGTTCGTAAAATTTATGTTAACCATTTACAAAAAGGTGTGCGGGACATAATAGAAGTGTCAAACGAAAATTAATATAATCGTCTTACTACCATCTTACTATAATCGTGTATTACCATCACGGAATGGTGAAGCTCCTGCTTTCCTAGTTTGTGTGATATTGACAGGCTTCTAAACCGTTTACGTCAAGGCTATGGTCCGTAACCATTAACGGGCGCCGTTACATATCAGGTCAAAACCCTATTTACCGTGCACGGGTCAAGAAGTATTGCCCACTCAAGGCCACCGAGCGATTATCCCCCAACAAATTTAAATCGATAACAGATTTAGTTTGTACTTGCGAATATATCACTTGGCCATCTCTGATTCGAATAAGGCACGAAAACAAGGAAACGTAATTTTAGTAAACAAATTCGTAAAAATTTCGACGCAAAAGGGCGAAAAAATTAGCGGAGATAATAACGGATCCGCTGAATCCCAATGATAACGAGCTTCGCGGCATTGAACATCGGACCCTGCATAACTCAAGTTACGCTTAACTTGAGCCAAGGTGAACGCGGACTTGACGTGTACGATTAGCATACATGCATCACCGTTACGGGTCGTGTTATGTTTACAATATCCTATCGAAACATATCCCTAACATTGCCACTGGTCGTCTTTACCGACCGTGTTCAAAGAGTCGTTAAACTGTCGCCCAATGATTAATTGATTCAAGGAGGAAATCAAATTAGGAATCCGAGTATTAAAAGCCGTGAAAGAACAATGCCGTGTTTCACAAGGAATTACTGGATAAGTTGGAATGTGTGGGCAGGTGCGTTATGTGGTGCAGCACCCAGTCGTCATTTTTCCATAAATCTGACCGTTTCTTTATTCTTCATTCACCGTCTGATATTTGAACGCATCTTCGTGGTGAATAACTCCTCTTTGATCGAAAAAAGCAATTAGCATTCCCTTGATGTTGCTTTGACTCTGCCGCCCATTCTTTGAACACTTTCAGCTGATGCACGACCACATTTAAATCGGCTAAACCGTTCTTTAATTTGAGTATCATTCATGGATTCATCGCCATACACTTTATGTATCATTTGGATGATTTCCGAACAAGAATGATCAAGTTTTTGGCAAAATTTAATGCACACTCTTTGTTCGATGCGTTCAGTCATCAAAGACGGGTTCCAGAGGATATAATAAACGAAAAAGCACGACCAATGGAGCATCGATCTAGCAGAGAGGAAAGATTTCGTGATACGTTCTCATTACTAAATAGTGCAGCGAGCATGGGACCAAAGTATACTATCCCACCGGTTGTTTTCATCCACTCCACTGTCGTTGGATACCATTTCTATTGTCCCGCACGACCATGTATCGGATGATACTGGACATCGCCATTCATAAAGTCACAATAATGGCCCTTCCACGAACACAAACAGAATCCTACTCGAATTCCATTATCCTACGCGAGACTTGAACATGCAGCGCCAGCGGGGCAATCACAAAAAACACTGTGCACTTCGATTACGACATATGTACAGTAAAACCTATTTTTGTGCTGTCCTTTTTTATGCGATTTTGTTTTTGTGCGATTTATTTTTATGCGGTATATAAATCTTAGCGGCGTTAGCACCAGTTTAATGTTTCCTATCAATGTACATATACATGTTGTGGACGAACTCTGATTACGTGGTTTCCTTGACAACGATGTATCTGGACTTCGCGATACTCTGTTCCTTTATTTTAAACAATCTCCTGACAAGGAAGAGTCAGTTACGTACATATTGTCGCTCGACGCGCGAACGGTACATATACGCTTCGTATTCAGAGTTTTATCCGCGATTCACGTGATCAAGGATTCATTTTATAGTGAGATTAAAGGTAAATAAATTAGTTACTTTTGTTTATATTGATATGTAGTATTTATGATTTTTATTTTTATTTTTTTTTTAAATCCTACCTTCAAGCGACGAAAGCGATTTTCAACCAATTCATCACAAGAAGATGCGCGTTTTGGATTACGACGAGTAGCAGCAAACTATTTAATGTAACAATTTCTCCATGTATATCTACAATGAAGAATTAAATAATTTTACAATTTCTTTATGTCTAATTTAATTATTTAATTTAATTGAAAGCATTCTCTCATCTATTTCATAAATCATTTATGTATTTTCTAAGTCCGACTTTTTTTACGCGGTACCTATCCGCCGCATAAAAAAAATTTTAGGTAATATATCGTACAAAGTTATTTTAAATATGTAAGAATTTATCAAATTTTCGAATATTTTTTTGTACGATTTCTTTTATGCGGTCCCTATCCACTGCACAAAAACAGGTTTTACTGTATAAAGAATCATGAATTATACCTACGAGGCATATTTACGTACGACACGATAAATGCTTTACTTTTGTGTATAATAATAAACCTCCAACCGACGAAAGAATTAATTATAAATACCACGATACGGATTTAACTTGCAAATATTACGTGCAAAGAACCTCTGTTTAAAAATAAACTTGCGACGAGATAAGAAGAAAACAACTGATCGAATTTCTAATCGAAGATCTCAAAACTGAGAAAAAAAAAAACAATTTTTTTCCGCAATACTTAATGCCATCATTTCGCAAGTAATGAAGTCACCGTGTCAGAGTTCATAATTTTTTGATAAGCCGAGAGATACGAATCAAAATAGGTCAACGTATGTAACGGATTTACAAATAGTCACGTACGAATGTTTTTGGGGTGTTTGTAGAGTCAGAGGGTCAAACTTTGACCGATAACAGTTACCCTCTAGGTTTAATGACGGCTCAGAAAGTAAAACAGTGCGCGAGCATATGTGTACCTTTCTCTATTTTTAGTTACAACGGTCCACAATGTTTCACGCGTTGTTGGTAAATGAGGGGAATCCGAATCAACCTGTACGATAGAGCTGTTTCAAATATTTGAAACTAGTCGAGGCGCGTACGCGCCTACGCGCTAGGTAATGAAACGGTTGCATAATCTGTCCATTCATCGATAACAGCGCTGATCACCGACTGCGCACTATTTGACCATGAATTCAATATCCGGCGGAGGGATCGATGACTTCTTTGCGGAGAACCGCAAATAGAAAAGCGAAAGTATTCCTGTGTTAGAATAAAGGAAAAACGACATCAACTGACATGCAATATCCATCTTGCAAGATACAAAAATGTTCGATTCTTGAAAAAATCGTTTCTTTAGATGCTAACTATATTAGGTGTAGAAATTAATTTTATTTCTTCGTAATCAATGATTTATAATTCTAGTTTAAACAGAAATACTTATTCGAATCTTGATAGATTAAAGTAATCATTGGAGAATGACGAGCAAATATTTCTAATTGAATTTGAATTATAATTAATTCAATATAAAGTCACGGAATTCATTTCTTCGCCTAATACATCACATACACGTAACACTGCGGATTTTATGCATTTATAACGTAGAATAATATACAAATTTATTTTGAATAAGTGGACATACGTTTTAGTTACAATTAGAATGCGTTTATCATAATTGCATACAAGTCTAGTAATAACTATTGACAAGCCATTTACTTAACGGAAGTCGATTTCAAGATAGTAAATATCGCCTGCTTTTGAAGATATGAATTCGAGTTCCATTTATTTGTCACGTTCATATAACAAAGAAAAGAATTCCACGTGAAATTCAGAAAGAAATGAAAAAAAAAAGAACAAAATCAACGATTCACAGCAACCTGTGTCAATGGAGATTGAGTTTTGGACTCCAAAAATCGATCCGTATCGAAATCGATAATCGGTTGAAAAAACGGTCCACTACAAAGTCGATTCAGAAAAGAACATTTAAATACGATTTTATACTGTAACGGAAATCTGCGTTAGGACGGAATTACGCGTTTTCAATTTGAAAATCTTTGGAACGGGGTAATAAGCCAAGACCATAGCTTACCTTCTATATGCTTCTAATGCCACCATGTATCCTGGCCTTTTCCCGGTCTTCCTTCAAACCAATTCGTCGATTCCGGTCGACCGACAGTTCCGTATTCCTACCGCGATCGTGAGAGGAAATTATCACTATTCAAGAATCAAGAACGATGAAATGTGTGGGGTACTTATACCGATGCCTCTAATGTGCCGTGTTATGTTCATGGAAGAACGGAGGGAAGAGGAAAGAACACGAGGGACAACCAATCACAATGTGACGTACACAGTGGTGGTCGTCGAACGACTGATTTTGTATCGGAGCCAGTACCCCCGTTTAGGGGACTTAGGATGCCTTGATAATGTTCGATCTTTGATCTTCGTTTCACACCACGGGTTTCCAATCCCCCATGCCTTCTATATTGCTCAATCTCTGCGGAAGGTAAACGCGACGAACATGTGACCGTGAGACAGCTGTATGACTGATCGCGTACATCTATGTTATCAATATTACGTCAAGAACAAGATCAGCTTTTCCCCCTCGACAAAAGATGATAGATAAAGAATAAACGGATACTTCATCGAAACATGCATCGTCGAGGTGTGTTCTTGTTATTCTTACATTTGTCACGCTTATCGATCGTAAAGATCGAATTTCTTTGGATCGTTCCTCGGTGGAGAACTATACGTTCCGATGTCTCTTTGTCACTTGATAAGATAAACGAAAAAAGACTGCTTAATACCACGTGTTTTCCGAACACCAACGATTCCACCGATTCTACACTCGCGGACGATATCACGTAATGCGCACTTGAAAAGTGGCTCAGTATTCGCGCGAATAAGCTGCGAATGATATCATTTCTTCATCGTCTGGAGCACATTTTTCTGTACACATGTCAAAATTTTAACCTATCCAAACATTGACCAACCGTGAGAACCGAGTAAATTTCAACGAAACTGAACGTGCCGTACCCTGACACGCACTAACGCCAGCGCGAAATACCGACCACTCTATACATACTCGATTCAGATGCAGCCATCTTGCTATTCGTGCATTTGAAACTGAAGGAATCAATGAGGGAGCTATAGTGAAATCTGTCGGTACGAATGCACGAAACACCATTGCATATACTTTGGGAACATTGTCGATTATATTTCTCGACGATGACACGATTTAGTCTTAATGGAATATTAGGAAAGACTTGTTTAAAGTTCGCCACGAATTTCGATTTAAAATTTCCCGCGGAATTGTCGGCGTGTTGACAGAATACGGTTCAACATTTGACGCGTTATAACGTCGTATTTCTAGTTAACGTGACATAACTAACGTAAAGGTTATTATAAAACAACCAAATCTGTATGAAAAATCTATAACAATATAGTGTAAATTAATCTGATGCGCATCTAAGGACTTGAGGATTTGACCTGCAAAGCGCGACGGTCATGCTTCTCGATATAGATAGGTGGCCTACACGTGAACCAATCAGAAGCCGTGGTTCGATGGGCGGGGATGTGGCGTGATCCGTGATGACGTCACTGTAGTCTGCAATCGATAACTCCTCGACGTTTACTAACCCCTTCTAACTCGTTATTGTAGTACTACAGAGTACAGACGATCAATGTTTGGTTACGCCACACGTCTCTGGCGGTATGATCGCATATTATTCCTAAATCTACCATCTCGACAAAAATACCAAGGTTTTTCATCGTTCTTTGATCAAACAAACTATCATGCTTCGAACCTTTGCTCTTTGCAAGTCGCTATATAAAACAATGCAACTTGTTACCACTTGAGTAACCAAATGATTTTATCGACTGTGCTAACTAACGTTTTCTTCCATAGCAACAGCAAGTTTTGGTAAATAACAAGACAAAACTTTTGTTTAATAGTATAATATTGGTTATGTATATATTGGTTTTTAATCGGAACTGACATATCTCTATCAAATTCTTAATAGTCTGGCAAATAATCGAATCTTTTACTTGAAACACCCCAAGGAATGACTGACCAAAGGTAAACGAGCGTGTGTGTTACAGGAAGAAATGCACGTACCTAGTTAACATTTAAACTTTATTAAAACCAACAACATTAACAAGAACAAGAACAAACCATTCCTTCTGAAACAGTCCATAGAAATTCGATTTTAAACAAATTCAATTGTCCTGCCGCATGTCGTTCAACAACGTCGTGTATCGGTTAGTTATGCACTCGTATAGAATGGTTCACATCATGAATGATCAAGTGCCGGGAGACCTACGACATTAGTAACATGATTGAAAATAATAATAGCCTCAATGTATTAACACCGCTTCGTAGCAAACCTAATCACAAAATGCGTTAAGGCACTGCCGTTAATGGGCCAGTCATGATGCCGCTACGGTCGCTAGAAGCAGTGCAATGAAACAAGCCAACAAAACCAGACAATATGTTGTTATTATAACAGTTATGAGATTAGTGACATACGAAACACGCATTCCACTCGAACGAACGATGCCGATGCTGTGCGGACCACAAATATTTTCGCATTTTATGCTCTCACCTTCGCAATCTGGGTCACGTTCATCAGTCCGCATCGTAACATCAGTCGATACTATAGTATCCTCTTGCTCGCATTCTAGTTCCTTCTCTTCGCTTTCCAAAAGAGGAGATTCGCTTTCCTTGTCAGAGGATACCAAAGACTCTTTATCCTCCACATTTGGAACATTAGAAGGAGGTGCATCCTTCCTTAATAACGCTTTCAACTCCTCGATCTCTTTTTCGTGTTCGCACAAGCTCGCTGCTGCTAACTGTAAATCATGCACAGCTTTGGTTAAGTCGAGTTCTGGATCGGCATTCGAATTATCTTTTGTCTCGTTCGATTCCACTTTCTCGTGGTCCTCCTCTAAATCTATCGTCGCATCTTCTTTAGGAACTACGTGCGATATATCGGTGGTCTTCGACGATGTAGACAGCTCGTCGTTTACATCGTCTGGACTGCAAGTGACGGAGCTACAAGTGCTCGTGTTGGGCGCCGTACTATCGGTTTCTATTTCAGAACGGCGCGACGTCAGCGAATTCTTTTGGCTTAAACGACTATCACGTAAGCGATCCGCCACGCTGCTGAACGCCTCCGCAATTAGTTTAACATTCTCATCCGCAACACGCAGATAGAAGTCAAACGCATTATCGTCGGTCTTCTCGAGATCTTCGTTCTTGGGATCAATGATGGATTCCGTCAGTCTTTCAATGTCTCCATTGTCCGTGCTTTCCTTACCCTTTTCGTTATGCTTTGAATAATGGCTACCCAAAGATTGAATACGCAGAACCGAGGATTCGTTAGATTTATTATTCTCATTCAAATCGTCTACTTTCGCAGATTGCTCTAAATTAGCATGGATCGTTTCTTTAACTGGTTCAACGTCCGGTCCCTCTATCAAATTAACCAAATCTTGGCACAAACGGCTGTACGCCGTGAAATCTGATTCGGTATCCGTATTGGACGACTTATTAGATTTTGATTGCAAACAATCCTGCCAGAATTCATTGTTCAATGCCTTGGACAATATATCGGTGGACGTCATACAGTTCTCCGCATTCGAGTTGTCCCCTTTCTTGTCGATCCTCTGTACTTGGGTCGATGGCGAAACATAAACGCGGAGTTTCTGCCTGTGTACATTCGAGGAGGGATGATTTCCATTTATATCAGTTTTACTACTTCTCAATGAACTCTCTGTGCGCCATCGAGTGTCATAATCGGAAAGTTCACCGTCGCTTACAACGCGTCTATAATAATCTTTTCGCACAGGTAACGATTTGATATCAATCAAAGACTCGCTGATCTCGTCCTTGATCTCCTGTAGACTGGGTTCCCTTCGCAGATGTATTCGATCGTGATCGATCAAACCGTAGAGATTGGCGGACAACGACCTAACCGCTCGTTTCTTCCTCACGCCGAAAGTGGTTTCCTGATCTTTTGCAACGCCTGTTTTACTTTCGACGGTATTCTTCGTCGTGTTGGCATCTTTCCGGAGGTTTCGATAGGCCAAGTCGTCTGTAACGATGTCAGGCTCGCACTGCGGTATGTACGGTGAACGAGGATAATCTGGTTTGGTTGGCGTTGTATGCAGATAGTCGCTTTCTGTGGCGGTGGTTACTGGCCCCAGAGGTATTCCAAACGGTGGTTGAGGATCGGCCACTTTTAATGTGTTGTTAGCGTAATGAAAGCTCCTGTAAACGACGTCGTCACGCGTCACATCCGGTTCGTCTTTGTGTACTGGGTAATCTGTAGCCGACAAGTATGGATAATCAAAGACTGTGTTTTTGCGTAACAAGATGGGCGAAGCCATTAGATAGCTGATATTAGAGAGCGTCGATTGCCCGATCGCTTCAGACAAAGATGTAGGTCGTTCCTTCGGATGCATTCTTCTATATGCCATATCGTCTTTTGATCTGTCTGGCGAGTCCACAGAAGTCAATGGAACAGTATCGTCGGGTTTTCCTCTACGTAGAGAAAATTCTTCCATGCTACGTCGTTCCGCCCGATCGAGGAGATCTTCGTCTCCGAGACGTAGACTGTTATATATCGTTTCTAGCTCGGACAATGCTTCCTCTAGGTTTTTTGAACTTCTTTTCCTTTCTAATGCATCTTGCTCGTTCATTTCCGCCAGCTTTTTTTTACTTCTTTCCGTTTTTATACTCGATGTATTATTCGAATACTCTGGCACAGCCTGTTTCAAAGGCAATTTTCTAGATGGTGAGTTTGAAGTTCTGTTGTGAATAAATAGCGAAGAATTGTTAGACCTATTGTGTATCCCAGTCGTCAGTGCTTTCTTTTCATGCACTTCGACGTTGTAGTCGGTGAACCTTGAATTAAGTTGATCGTTTCGAACGTTCCTTCGCTGACACTTCATTGCTTCTGTTTCGTGAGCTATGGTTTCGTCTATGTGTCTACCAGTTGAGTTGTGTCTGTTGTTTGTACATTCTGTTAAATTACACGATTGCGTTGGAGGAACTGTCAGAGACAATGGACGTCGAGGGCATCGTTTAGTCGAACCACACGATCTAGTTTCATTGTTTGACTCGTAGGATCTCAAACCTTCTAAATGGTCTCTGGTAACTTCAGGCACGTGGTTCACTTTCGCATAGGTAGTATCATCGTATTTTGACACCCGATATCTTCCATTGAACGGAAAGGAATTACAACCGTAGGTGAAAACTTTACAGCGTGGGTCTCTTGGTGGAGGTTCTGGCGGACACAAGCTGCGAGCACACAAGCTAGATTGATCGTTTCTCAAATAATTATAAGGTCTCGCGTACTCGCTATTAGTCATAGGTGAATTTGAAACGTAGTTACTTCTATTGTGATTTATATAATTCCTATCACTTTGCAAGATATTTGGTTTTGCGTATGTGTTGTTTTGATTTAAATCTGTAATATATTGATTTGTAGGATGTTTCGTAAGGTCGTTAGATGATTTTGTTTGATAACTAGATGCTGTAGCCTGACGTAGACTTTCAACGGATTTTTGTACTGGAAAAGTGTAACTGTTAGGTTGAGTAATAGAGCGCTGTGATTGTACAGAAGGCTGAATTGGTATATCTGCATCCCTATCGAATAATTGTTTTTCATCCATAAAATCAAGGCTACTGCGTTTGTTAGTTAAGTTGTTCAAGTTTTCCGGAAGTCTATGACTCTCGTCTCTTGTCAAACGTTTTATATACCGTTCGGTGCGTGCAGTACGACTTTTTCTATTAGAGGAACTATTTTTCTGCACATTCTGTACACCGGTTTCATTCTGAAATCTTGGCAGCGAATTAAAAGATTTACGTGTCTCTTCTTCAGAGCTACTATCTGCACAAATGCGGTCTCTTTTTGCTTCTATTCGAGCTTTTAGTTTATTTTTACGTGTTTTTTTATTCAGTCCATCCAATGATCCATCACTGCTACGAGATAGCGTAGAGTCCTTTTGTAAACTTGATGTATCTACTAAATTTGTAGCAATGCTGTTAGTCGAACTATTCTTATCTAAATGATGATTGCTTTTGACTGGATGAAGAACAACATTGTGTGATTTTCTATTGAACACTGTGCGAGGTCTTGGTTGCCTTCTACAGTACACCATTTCTTCTTCATTAGAGGAACTGTCGTAATCCCGTATTGCAGATATTCGTTTTAAAATTCCACCCAGTGACCACTTCTTCTCTTTCTTCTTCTCTGATGAGGTCACTGCATCACAAACAGGCAAGCGTTTGGTTGGTGGCAAAAGACCATCCATTCTCAGGATGTCTTTTCCAGTGATACTCCTTTTCTCCATTTAGTATAATGTTTCTACTTTAATACTAAAATGCATAAAAGAAATTCAAGATTAATTAATGTTTAAAAATCAACAGGTATGATAATACATTTATGGAAATACGAATTATACATTAGTGCAAAGCAGTCGAAGAATGAAATGATGTTTTATATTTAATCATAAGCATTTTGATGTACATTTACTTACAAATATGCATGTATATAAATGCAAAAACTGTACACGCATATGAATGCAAAAACTCTGGAACAACCATCTGAATACACTTTATATAAACTTCAACTCATTTCTTTGATTCCATATACACATATGTTTACACTTCCATTACCTTGAAACAGGCCAGTTATTATAAACAATTATACACTATTACGTGTATGCATATAAATAGAATAAAACTGTCTACTAACCTCTCACGTAGACGGTCAGCTCAACGATTCCGATATGTATTTGGCGAAGGGCGAATTCTTTGTACATTTGCCAAAATTTGATCTGACTCACAAGTGTCAACCACGATCATTCACATTGTACGCATGATCGAAATACCCCAAGCTTCGATACAGTGTTGATAACGCTGATAAAATCTCCGCACCTCTTTTAGGCACGACTTTCGCAATGCGTTTGTTTCACTTGCTGCCTTGACAGATGAAACTTAAGAGGATATATAAACTTCACTTTCATGAATCACTCGCTCGTCGGTATTATTTTCGTCGCGTGTGGAAACGAAATATATATGTAGAAGTTGCGGATAGAATTCGTTCGATCTCAAGAATCTACGTTCTGCGACTGATGTATATCTCGCGCTCACTTGGCGCCTGCCATTACATGGACATTAATGCGTATCATGCGTTGCACGCAAGAATACTGTTAAACTAAACGAAACCGACTCGAATCAGCTCGAATCAGATATGAGAAGAGAAGGGATTCAAGATTGAACGTTCAGCTCAGACCCCACCCATTACCAGATCCCCCCTAACTGTCGCGCAGAATCACACACGATGAATCGTGCACACGCCTGTGCACCACGTAGCAAAACATATATTTTAGATATGAACCGTTTATTATGAAAGCGTTGCACGTTCGTTTATCTTTGTTTTAAGATAGGGCTTTTTGCATTTCAATTGGCTCAAACATGTTCGTACCAGCTAATTGACTTGTATGCTTTTGGCGATCATCGATAAGTTTATCAGTTGTGCAAAGAATTTGGACATTTGGAAAAACATTTGGCGACCACAAATGGACGCTATGTTTATCGTTATTAAATTTCCAGCGTGGTCTTGCATGAATATTTTTTTCCACGTACTTTACACCACTTTTATAACGAGTGCTTCGTGAGTTAAAAAGGCCTGTTATAGTTATAGTATTATGGACTACTGGGCAACTATTTCTGATAAAGCTTCCATCTCAAAATAAAGTTGCCATTTTTCAACCATTTTTTGGGTTGGACTTTTGTAATGGCGTACTAAAGAATTTTAAGAAAAAGGATTGCGGCTTGGAATGCAAAATGAAAGAGTTCTTAATGCAAAGCGATCGCTCGATATTACCACATTTTATTTTACGAGAGGTGTTAAAGGTCCAGCAGCAAGGAGATCGTGTTATTCTTTCGAAATTAGGTATTCATGCTGCATCATTCCAGTTCGAAAGCCATATACGGATGGCCAAAGACACAGCATGATGTATACATCCATATCTCATGGAGAAGCAAGGAGAAAGCGGCTTTCAACATTAATTCAGGACATGCCTATACAGCTGTATATGGCAAAAACTCAATAGGCAAAATCGATAAATGCCAATCAATTATTGAGCATTGTACATCCGTCTCCTCCGATTATTTTGCGTACATCAATTTACAGCTAACATGCTAAACACTCTATATTTCATTCTAGAAAATGTGAAACTTTATGTAAATATTCAACGTTTTATACATATTTCGTAGATATATCATACTAAAAGACTAACAAAAATTCTTTCATTTCTGATAGACTATCAGTGATAGTTACGATATTCCGAGCTAATATTGTAGTGATTTTTAGATATCTATAGTATATGTCACGATAGGAATAGCATTCTAGATACACGTTGTCTCCAGTTGCCCCTTTCACACAATTGTTCATGTTAGTTTTCTGTTAAGAAGTTATTTCCACTGGTTAAATAGTTAAATTAAATTTCGATTCATATCCAGAAGGAAGAAAGTAGAAAATGGGTACATCCGGAATGGCCACCGCTCACTGAGCCGCTCTGTCAGCGAATTTTACTTTTAGTGGCGCCATCGGTAGCAGAACGCCCAAGTTTGTAGTGATAATAGTTCCACCTCTTACTACTAGATGACACCCCAAACTAAAAGGTCAATAATTACTGCTGCATTAAAAAACTATTAAAAAAATGATACATTTGACATAGTAACTAATATATTGTAGTGTTATAAAGCAAAGAATCGTATTACTTAAGTATTTATACAAACATAAAGAAAAATTGAGTAAAGCTATCTGTGGCGCCATCTTATTCAAACGATGGGAACTATTTTCACTACAAACTTGGGCGTTTTGTCACTGGTGGTGCTGATCAAAATTTAATTATAAAAATAATAGAAAAAATTCCTTTTAATATATTTTTACATTCTTAAATATTACCTTTCTTTAAACGTAATATAAATTTGCTATGTTAAACAAGCTCTGCCTGCAAATTTTTCCCAATGTTGAGAAACTGTCGAATGTTTATTCTAAAAGGAGACGGCTTAAATTTGAAAACTGAAAATAAATATGATCTGGTCGAACCCTGGTAATTAATTTCTTGAGAATCCCAATTCGAGAAACCTTGCATAAACGAAGGACGTTCCGTAATAATAGGGTCAAGTGATAGCAAGGACAACAAGCGTATGAGTGTTAAGCTTTTTCGTTTATTGAAAATATCTCTGTAAAACGTGTGTATATTGTGGCCGGGCGAGGTAAGCCGACAAAACCGAATCATTCGACAACGAAACGAAATCGGGTAGCAAACGAAGGAATACGGTGAAGACATTGAAAACAATATAGAGTCGTTCGTATTTAGTATCTACATAAGTAAAGGACGAATCAACGATGCATTCGCTTACTTTTTCTTTTTTTTTTAATCTTAGTATATTAATTATATTATGTATAACAAAGCGGTAACAACTTGTTAATTGTAACTATTACGGTAATAATCGTTTACTTTATATAATTACAATAATGTAATGTAAGGATGATCGTTAACTAATCGATAACAAACGAATCGTTTCCTCCTCCATCCTTCGTCTTGATCATCATATATCCTCGTCACTTCCTTTACTTTGTTTCTCCCCTTTTCTTCTGTTATTTTATTTTGTTGAATGCGATATCGGTCTTCGGTTGAATCGTTTTTTGTATTTGTTTTCATTTTTTTTTCTTTTATTCGCTCATCCCCTTTTTTCGTATTAATTATTTAACAACAGTTTTTTTATCCCTTTTATTATTTGCTCTTTAATTTAATAATCGTAGTAAACATAGTAATTATTTATAATATTGTGCAAATAATCCATATTTTTATTTTGTTTAATAGTAATGAATGTCATTCAACGGAGGAGCTCTTCTATGATCTCCCTCTCATTCGCGCGCTCTCCCTCTCTCCCTCTCGCTCAATCTCTCTCATTCTCTCACACGCACGCTATCTCGGTGTCTCTCTCTTTGCGTTCTCGCGTGCATCCGCGCGTTTTCGCGTCTACGCATGCGTCCAGCGACGATACAACGTCCGCGCATGCGCGAACGCGCGCGAGCACGCACGGAGCACGCAATTTAAATGGACGAACCTTCGCGCTTTAATGTTTTTTTTTTTCGACAGCTAGCTCGTTAAAATTGGATTTTTTTTTTCTTAGCACATTTCGTCTATCTAGCTTGTTGACCCATGGCAGTTGCTTGTTCATTATACTGGCCGACAGGCTCCGCAGCTTGACACTTTGCTTTGAGTATTCGTTTTTTTTTTTTGTTTTTGTTAGCCCAGCTCTAGGATCTTTGTTTCGTTATTATTATTATTATTTTTTTTTGCTTTTGTGTACTCATCGTTTATTTATTATCTGACGACGTTAGGTTAATGAGTTTCGAGAATTTCGAGACACTACAAAGCCCTTTTGTTTTGTTTTCGCTATCCGTTTAAGAAAATTTCGTGCATTTACGATTAGTTAACTTAGTTTCATTTTCTCTTTATACAATGCGTAACGGCAGTATCGTCCACGGAGAAAGTACGTTTAAACCTCGCCTTACCTCGCTTAACGAAGGAAAGCCCTATATGTATATATATATATATTTTTTTTTTTGTTCTTTAATATCTTACAGCCGTCGTCGCGCAAAAGCTGGTATTTTAATGTACGTTTTTTTGTTGTTTTTTTGTTGTTGGTAAAACAAACGAAAATTAATGAAGCATACCACGCATACTCTTCCACCCCCCTCTACCCACGTTTCCTCTCGTTACCGTAGCAATTTGGCCGATCGAACGAACGTTTTTTTTTCCCGCGTACATGAGTTTCCATCCCGAGCGTTTACGTTTCGAATGAATTTCATCAGGCAACCCTTCGAGACGCGTGTAAACCCGATTATCTTGCGTTTTTTTTTCCGTTTCGTGTGTTGACGATTTAACGAACCGAATGTTGATGTCTACCAAAGATCGGTAAACGTAATTGAAAACCGGGGAAGTTTGCGATTCAATCACAACATTCGGTCCAGGCGCAAATCGATCAGTTCCGCGTTAAGATAAAAACAAGAGACGAAAAGGAAAATAGAGAATAGTAGAAGAAGAATAAAACGATCTTTGGCGCGCCTCTCGGGGGAAAGAACGATTTCTACGCGATCGAGGTCTGTATCGTTTAAAGAGGCCAGTGTGTTTCGAACACTGAGCTATACTATATAATTCAGTGACATCGAGACACTTTCTGCGCGCAGATTCCAACCTCGTTTACGCTCGTCACGCCCTGCTTAAGCTTGTTACGCTCGTCGTGTGTCTCGAGTTGTTTTTTTTTTTTTATTGCTTCTGGGAGTTCGCGGTTGCCCATTCGACAAAGTAGTATCGAAAATATATATGTATATTATATGCGTACAAACCATTTGATTATTATCGAATTATTTGCACATATTACAGCACACGGTAGGGTAGTCGAAACTCAAAAAAGGGGCGAGAGGGGGTATCGGAGTAATTAGACAGTGAACCGGACGGACCATCAGATACGTCGTACATCGATAGAAGAAGGATCGACGAGCTGGATTGTGTGTCGTCGATCGATCTCGTGCCTCGATTCATTTCGTTTCGTCGTTCGTCGTCGTCCGTCGTCCGTCGTCCGTCGTGCTCGGTTTTGCGGCGTTTATGATTTGCGGTAGTATCGTCGCGATCGTTCCGACCTTTGGCGAGACGATGGAAACGCGTGCGTCTAGAAAAATTCGATGAGGTTTCGCGCGCGCATGCGCGAACAGCAACGGCAACATTTTTAGGCGTAATCTTTCTCCGCTTCCGTTGCAAAAGGATTGCCGATCGGGGATGCTCGACTCCAAATTCATCTTTTAAGTCAAGAATTTTCGATTCATTTTTGTACCATTCTTTACTTCTTTTACGATAAAATCAAGTATCGTTTTTGGATATTAACGCTTTACCGACTGGTAGTTTATCAACTTTTGGTCATTGTAATCAATGCTTTCTTATCACTGACATGGCATTGTATGCTCCATTAGTATAGGAATTATGAAATATTATACAAATATTAACCAGAAAACGATTCTAATGGATAAAATAAACGTTTTATGGCACTAATGTTGTCGCAATCGAAAGTATTGTTGAATTTAATTATATATCCAATTCATACCAGTCGGTAAAGTGTAAAGTGTAAATCTCTCGAGGGATACTAACACCTATGTGAATGTTCAGTTTCCGAGTTAATAATTAAGTTTTCCAATGATGCATGTCACATACAGGTAAACATAAACTTAAACTTTTGT